TTGCCACAAAGGAAATAAAAGCTGAAGACAAGGAAGATGTAGTTTAAAAGGCATTATGTTCAGGAGGTTGTTGGGGGAGCTTCATTTCGGGCTCCAGGCCTGTTGTTATGACTAGGGTTTGTGCAAGTCAGAATAACGGAACCATGGAGTTCCATTATTTTCTGTTTGTAAATGTTCTTACTGTTCTAAGTTTTGTTCTAAGTTCCTGTTATCATTGCTACTATGATTAGCCCAGGAATCTCTCATTGGACTAAAGCATATGTGTACCCCTCTATAGTACTCCTGGCATCACACAAGCTCATCAGAACAACATATGTGGCTTTGATTGTGAGTCTATGCTGTATCTGGAGGGTTGGTACAAACATTAATATACATGGCCATGAAAAAGAAGAAACAGAAGAGGGTAATGGTGCTGCTGACCTTTGACTGAAGTCTAGATCCATTTATTTTGCCTCCTTTTGCTGGTGCTGAGTCATGTGTGCATCTCTAGCGTACTTGTGGCATTTCTTTTTTCTTTTTCTTTTTTTTTGAGAATCAAATTATTTTATTATTTTTTATTAATCACAGTTTATTCACTTTGCATCCCACCTGTAGCTCCCTTCCTCCTCCCCTCCCAATCCTACCCTCCCTCCCTCTTCTCTCCCATGCCTTTCCCCTAGTCCACTGATAGGGGAGGTCTTTCTCCCCTTCCTTCTAATCCTGTTCTATCATGTCTCATAAGGACTGGCTGCATTGTCTTCTTCTATGGCCTGGTAAGGCTGCACCCCCCCCCCCCCTCAGGGGGAGGTGATCCAAAAGCAGGCTAATCAGTTCATGTCAGAGACAGTCCCAATTTCCATTACTAGGGTACCCACTTGGAGACTAAGCTGCCATAGGCTATATCTGTGCAGGAGTTCGTTATTTTCATGAATGGTCCTTGGTTGAAGTATCAGTCTCAGAAAAGACCCCTATGCCCAGACATTTTCTTTCTGTTGCTCTCCTTGTGGAGCTCCTTTCCTCTGCAAGTCTTACTATTTCGCGTGTGGCATTTCTAATAAAACTATTTCCAGTACAGTTCAGAAATAAAATATCACTGGACAGAAAACATATCAAAATAAATAATTGTCTAGAAACTGTATTCAAACTACTTTTAACTGATATCTTTATATTCAATTTAGGGAGTTTAGTGTTCAAGGTCATAAATTTCAGGCTGGCATCACAAAGGAGTAGTTGAAAGCAAACTTTTTTGTTTTGGTTTGTTTTTTGAGACAGGATTTCTTGTGTAGCCCTGGCTGAACCTGGAACTTGCTATGTAGACCAGGCTGGCCTCAAACTTATAGAGGTCTGACTTCTTCTGCTTCCTAAGTGCTGGGATTAAAGGGGTGTAAAGCTACTGCCTGTTGTTTAAATGAAGGAAAATCTCAACCATTCTAGTTTACCAATAAGACTTGGGAGCCAGACGCTGGGGTGAAAACCTGTTAGCTCAGAGAGGCAGAGAAAGTAACCAGCTGACCTTCCTTTTCAGCTCAGGTCGGCATGGAAAAAACCCCAAAACTTGAGCTAGTTGCATTTTCTTCTTCTCCATGCTGTCTTAAACATCCCTCACTTTGAAGTCCCTCCTACTCTTTTATCTCTGTCAGCTGGTTTCTAGCTCAACCTCTTGACCTAGGGTTACCTTTATTAAATCCTGTGTACAGAGAGCTCTTGGATTAAAGGTGTGTGCTAGGGCTGGGTGAACCACACCATAATCACCTGTTTACAATAAAGGGAAAGTTCTTGGATCAAAGATATGTGATAGGACTCAACCACACCAAAGAGACAGGGTTTTACAGTTCACAATTTTGAGGATCAAATATCCTGCAACAACTGCCAGGCTAAAGCAAACCATCTTAAAGGGCGAGGGACCGCTAATCAACTCACATGCTCTACATTAGCAATAAACACTACTTTTGTTTGTTTGTTTTGTTTTGTTTTAAGTGGTTCTCTGAACAGAGCTTTACACTTTTGCTTGTAGTCACAGCGTTCAGGACACGAGCAGAGGGATAATCACAAGTTAGAGAACAGCCTCTAAATATGTAGTCTCAGGACAGCTGAGATACAGAGTGAGATCCTGTCGCACAAAACAAAGCCACAAACAAATAAATGAAACTCCCTGTACCTTTACTATTACTCTTTCATATTTTAGTGTAATTATTATTCATGAAATACATGCTATATTATTTCATGCATGGCTCACCATGCCTACTGATACTTCAGTAAAAGAAATAGAAGGCAGTTTCCTAGCAACACCTGTATTCAAAGAAGCAGCAACAACAATAAAAGCTTAATTACAAACACTTTATTTTCCTCAAAGTTGACTTTCGTCTATCTAGGGAAGTCACCGTCTACCGAAGAAAGCATGGCTCAGACCAGAGCCCAGGAAGAGGTCTGAACAGACTCACTCGCTCTTTCCTTGTGGGAATGGAAACGCAAGATAACTAGTTAGGGTTTGAATCCAGATCAGCCTTTTGCAATAGTAGTAGGCAGTGTGTAGATGCGGTCCTGCCCTGTGCTGTTTGGTCCGTTTACTCAGAGATGCAGAATGGGTGCTGTAACTGGGAACCAGGATGCTGTGTTCCTAGTGGTCCATAGGTCTGTGGATATGCAGACACGCCCCCTTCTCTGGATTTTTGACTAAAAGCATGATGCTCAGAAGAGACAGTTACAAACGTCTTCAGCAGCTACAGCCCTTAGTAATGAGCACTGCCCTGCCACCCTCCCCCTCCAGCTTATTAGCATTTTCGAAACAGACATCATAGCTTCCATCATGATTCCTGCATCTTACTAAAGCATCATTTGCACTTTAAGCAACTGACTTCCTGGGCCTTTCTAGGGGGTCCGGCGGGGGCGGGGCATGCCTTTTGGAGATTTCCTGCCTGCATGTGGGGTCCAGGCCCTGCCTGAGGTGAAGGTGACCTAACCACAGTGGAAGTTTAAAGCAAAGAAACCAGCTTGGTTAAGGGGAAGTGGCCATTTCGTTTTCCTATTTTGAGAAAAGCTCAGAATTTTCACGTTGAAAACGTGCACACGAGTCATTTTAAGTCTCCACATCTTTCACCCTGAAAGTCCCTGCTCAGAAACTCCGTGGGGAGTCTAAATTTAGCTGCACCGAACTCTCCCCGCCTTCAGCCAGGGTCTCCGCCACAGCTCTAGGATTGCAGAGCTTATTCCAGGACTCTCTCTCTCTCTCTCTCTGCATCTGCCTTGAATAGCAGGGCACAGAGCAATCTCTCTAGCACCTCCACGGTGTGTGGGTGTGAAGTGTATTAGGGGAAAGTGGGAGCGCTCTGGGTGTCGGTCACAGTCACGTGGTACCGCTGCCAGCTGCACAGAGCTAAGAGTCAGTAGTGCCTACTGCCCAGAGGCTTTGAGGGAAACAAGGTCTCGCTGAGTCTACGAGCCAGGGGGGGGGGGGGTTTCACAAAACAACAACGATAAAAATAAAAGTAAAACTTGGAGCTGACGCCATGCCCGCACAGAGCAGCTGTCCGGGGGCGTGGGTGTATGCTGGGGTGGGGTGTGTTGATAGAGTATTATCTGCTACGGGTGAGATAACCGAGATAAGATTTTTGCCTGAGTATTGTTTGATATTGAAGGAAGTGAAAAAGGCGCACAGAAGGATGGCCACTTGGCTTCTGTCTACCTTGGCTTCGTGTTGAAAGCATAGTTCAGTTGAACTTGGTGATTTTTTTTTTCTTTCTTTCTTTTTTTTTTTTTTTTTTTTCATATTTGGAGAGGAGGTTGCTCTCTTGGAAGCCGTTCCCAACGCTGGCTTCCTCTCAGTTTCCCCAACGCTGAAGCTGAAATCTTGTTGCTTAATTGCTAACGATGTTTTTGAAAGCCAGAGTTCTGAGCCAGCGGCACCGTGGTCTCACTCTGCTAAGCTAAGAGCGCGGGCTCTGGGGCACCCATCCGCCAGAGGTGGTAGGAGACCCAGTCAGTGGTTCCCCTTAACGTGTCTCTAACCTTGTAAGTTACAGCATCCCGACTGAGAAGCAGATCCCGGGCTCCCCACGATCCATGATACCCCTCCCACTCGCTGGGGACACCGCCGCTACTGCGGAGACTTAAGCAGTTTTATGACTTTCTCCCACTTAAATGGAAATTTTTGGAAGGAGGGAAGTGGGTTCATTTTCTCAGGCTTCTCTGCCGGGAGGAGCCCCAAGGCAGCTCCCTCGCCGCAAAAGAGCTACTTCGGAGTTCTACGCCCTCCCCACACCCCACCCTCGGGGATGGGAAGGATGTTCTGTGACTCGCGGGCTTGCTGTCTGAGGCTAGGATGGAAAGTCACAGCCTGCAGGCTGGGTTGAGTCGCGGGAAGCAGCTGGGTGCCCGCCTGCCTGGATGTGTCCATCCAACTGCGGAGGACTGATCCCCAGCGCGGGAACCCGAGGGCCGCTGTCCGAAGCGTCGCCCCCGCTGGCTTGCTCCTAGGCTAGCCAGCACCTGGAGGGCAGGACGGAGCCTCTCCTGCCCACACCCATCGCGGGAGGATGGCAAGACCAGGCGCGGCATAGCGAAGGGAGAAGCCCGGAGACCCGCTCGTCCAGTTTGTTCACCGCAGGCACCGGGCGGATTTCACCCTCCGGACAGCTCCGAGCCCCGGGAAGAATCGAACCAAATTCGGCCTGGGAGACCGACATAGCATCAGGCTGGTGTTGTGCGCGAGGGGGACAGGGAACAGACATACTGGAAGCCGGCTGGGCGCGCACACGTGCAAGCGTGTCTCGGGGCACCCCGCACACCCCAGGTCCGGCCCGGGGACGCCCGGGGGGAGGAGGGAGTGGCAGTGGCCGGACTAAGGGAGAGCGAGGGACACCTCTCAAAGTGACGCCCCCAACAGGTCCCGGCTGGGGACTCGGAAGCGGCAGAGACCCGGACCTCCCCGGCCGGCTCGGCGCACCCCGTCGCCCCCGCCCGGAGCCCTCCCGCCCCCGGGGCGCCCCGTCGGCTGCGGGCTCCCTCCTGCAGACCTGCCCGCGCCCATGAGGCCGCTGTCCCCGCCGCAGGCGCCGGCGCCCCCCTCGCGGTGCCCGTGGTGATGCCATGCCCCGCCACCTCGCGGGAGGAGAGGAGGGCGGTGCCGCCGGGCTCTGGGTGAGGAGCGGCGCGGCGGCGGCGGCGGCGGCGGGCGGGGGGCGCCCGGGCAGCGGCATGAAGGATGTGGAGTCCGGCCGCGGCAGGGTGCTGCTGAACTCGGCGGCCGCCAGGGGCGACGGCCTGCTGCTGCTCGGCACCCGCGCGGCGGCGCTCGGCGGTGGAGGAGGAGGAGGCGGAGGAGGCGGCGGCGGCGGCCTGAGAGAGAGCCGCCGGGGCAAGCAGGGGGCCCGGATGAGCCTGCTGGGGAAGCCGCTCTCCTACACCAGCGGCCAGAGCTGTCGGCGCAACGTCAAGTACCGGCGGGTGCAGAACTATCTGTACAACGTGCTGGAGAGACCCCGCGGCTGGGCGTTCGTCTACCACGCGTTCGTGTGAGTACCCGCGCCCCCTCCCGTGGGCGACCCCCTCCGCCCCCCACCCCCGATCCTGCCTGTTCTGGGCGAGCCCCCCCGGAGCCTGGACCCCCGGGACGCACTCCCTGGCCGGAGGCGCGGAGACGCGCGCGCGCTCGCGCCCACACGCGCGCAGATACACACACACGTGGTGGTTTTTTTTTCTTTGCACGTGTTCGCAGTTGGCCCTCCGGGGCCCTCCATCTCTGGTCCCATCGCTCGTCCAAAATGTTCAGATTGAACCGTTTTGCCCCGGGGCACCCAGGGGAGACTGTCTGTTCCAGGTACCTGGCAGAGTGAGGGCAGGAGCAGGACTTGGGCGACTCAGATAGTCTGGAGCGACTAGGTCCTGACATACAGTAAACTTAACTGAGTGGGGCGCCCAGGAGCCGGGGAACGCTCAGGGAGGCTTTGCACCAACCTGAGGCTGGAGAGTATGTTGGTGAGGTTAGGAGGGTCACGGTGGGGTGGGATGGAGCGGACAGGAGGTCAAGAATGGGTTCCCAGTCAGCCCCCGAGGTGGAGCAGAGGAAGCTGCTACGTGGTGGAGAGACAGGTTTTAAGCGCTCCCGGAAACACGCTTGGCCACCATCACAGCTGTCACAAACGGAAAGTCTTGTCAGTGTGTGTGTCTACAGAGAGGTGGCCTGAGTTGAGGAGGGCCAGTAGGCCATCTAAGCTCTGCTCAGCTCAGACACAGCAAGTGAGGAATCCGGGGTTCAGGAACATGGCCCACGGTGCAATAATTGAAATGCACAGAAACCAGCCCTGACATGGATCAAGCAGTGGATTGAGCTGGCCCTGATGGCTCAGAGACAAAGTAGGGTATGTGTGTGTGTGCGCGAAGTAAGCCCTCGCCATCTAGCAGAGAACGCTTAATGAGAAAATGATTGGAAACAAATGTTTGTTTCCCCCCTAGGCGTTAAAAATCTTGCAGTGGCTTTAAAGTTTACTACTGCTTTTCCCACAGTGTCCATTCATTCGATCTCCTGTTAGAGTTAGCTTCATCTGGAAGACTTAGGTTGGTTTTATGCCCTTACACCCTGTCTAACTTAGTGTTTTTAAAGGACCCGTCTCTACTTTTTGCCCCCTCTTTGCCATCCTTCTTTATGTTAAAACGAAACACAAACATAATAGCCTCAGGGGACCTTCAGAGAACGTTGCAGGCACATACAGACTGGTCCCTTATTTCATACCTAGTGAGATACGTTTAGAAGACACAAAATACTTTCAGAAATGAGGCATGCCGTCCTGTGCTCATCTGGAATGAAGAACTGGCACCAACCCAGGAAACGCAAAAATAAATAAATAAATAAATAGCAGGAGAGAAGGGACTGTTTTTGTAAATAGGTGAACCTGAAATAGGACCAGGTAGAAGCCAGGAAATTGGTGGGGTCTGCACTCTGGGGCCCCGGTGTCTGGAAATTTTTACAGTTCCAGTTTGACTGGAACATGAAGGATTAGGTGGACTATTCCAGCCAGCTTTGTATGTTTGCAAGGCACATGCAAGGAATGTCATTCCATCCAGAAGCATAAGTTCTATCATCTGCTGGTGGAGGAGTCACAAGGATGCAGATGTCATTAATGATAAAAAGCTACTGACACATGTTAAGCTCACCTCCTTGGGTTGATATGCAATCCATCTAGTCCTTAATGGCCTAATAAATTATTTTGACCTATCAGAATGTCTACATATTTTTAGCAATGATGAGGCTTAATTTACAGCAAACAGACACAATATGGATGATGCTATTTTTAGAAAACGCTCAGAATATTCATGACCTAGAGTTTTAAATGTGATGCAACATACTGCCTTTTATGTGGGGAAAGTCTGTACATAGAGGTTTAGAGGGAGCTTGGTGAGTGTGGTTGCCCACACTAATATCTCCTAAGCATTTTCTTCTTGATGTCTGATTGGTAGGCCAGTTGTTACGGGTTTCGACACTTAAAACAAAACTTCTTTTAAAGATTCCAGCTTCAGTATCTGCCTGCTAACCGGCTTTATCGAATTCGCTGGTGGGTAGAACGGAAGATTATGTGCTTGTCAACGTAGTGTTACCAATGTAAAGTTTCATGATGCTTCTAAGCGCCTTGAGGGCTGGAGGGCGGGGGTATTGGCAGCTACATGGTGAGGCTGCATGCATGTTAGCACCAAGTCAGGAAGGACAGAGTCGGTTTCTGGAAGGATGGCACACAACCGCAGCAGAGCCTGGGGGAAGGAGGGGTAATTGCTACTTATGATTTTAAATGAGGTTTTGAATAGCCGGAATTTACACATTAAATTAATAAAGCAAGGCTACTTTGAGCTGTAAGTCTAATAAGACCATTACAGGAAACTATAAGAAAATAATTTCTAGGGAGGTGTAACTAACTAATGCCCTGCCAGCCTGGGAATCCTCAAATCTTACTTTAATAACAGTTTTTGTAGGGTATTAAGCTCCTTGCCAAGAACAAGTACACTGTGATTAATGAGGCACTTCAGGGATGAATTTACTTGGTTAGCCCAGTGTTTCCACTGCCAAGAAACGAGAGAACTGCGCTTATTATTATGCTTCAGGTAAAGAGAATATTCTGTTAAAATATGTAAGAATAATTATTATAATGCTGTTTTAATGGTCTCAAATGTGATCTGATGAGTATATACCCCAGCCGACCGGTAAGGATGCTGGCAAGAACAGAGATGACCTGCTTCAAGTGATCTCTTCCTCTGAATTTGTGGGCCTTAGGAGATCCAGGCCCTTCCTGCTCTTTTTTGGAGTCCCTGGGTAGCAGTGTGTTCTGTCTTCAGCTGTGATACAATTAACTAGATGAGCTCTTAAAATAGGAGATGATTTCTTTGAGCTGTTTGTTCCTTTTAAATTGCCCTTCTTTGGGGAAAATTTAGAAGAATTATGGTAGTTGTAAGGGCTTCGTGATAGGATTCCTGATGTAAATTTGCATCAGTGTAGCAAATTCGGTCAGTCCCGAGAGCACTCACAGGAAGGCAGCCGTGCAGATATGTCCATGTAAGCCATCACATTGACCAGGACCTTTGTCTCATTTAATACTGTGCATGAGAATTCATAAATACTAAAAACTAGAGTACTCCAACCACCCAAACTAGGGACCCTGGAGTCATTTTTTTTTTTTTCATTTGCTTTGAAACTTTTTCCAGGTATATCTCTTTCTGTCCTTTGCTGTTTTCTCTGTCCCTATCTGTTTCTCAGACCCTCGTCTATGCTGCCTGGCCATCTTGCTTCCTGTCGGTATGGTGACAGGGGAGATAAATTATACAGCTTCTTGCAAAAGAGAAGACAAAAGTTGCTGAGAGCAGGGAAGGCAGCAGTATTCAAAGGGGAAGTAAGGCCTGGGCTTAATTTGGATGATCAAGTAGCCCACTTTCAGTTGGGTAGAACAGGGAAAAAATGAACAATCTTGATAGAGAAAATAGCTCTAGTGAAAGTGTGGGGTCATGAATATGTAATAACTGTAAGAACTTTAAATCCCATGCAGGATAAAGCCAACTTCCAGAAAAGGGTCGGGGGGCGGAGGGGCACGCACCTAATTTTTAGTAGCATATGATGATGGATGTGAAATCTTGTTTGTATCCTGTAGGACAAATCTGTCTTTATCCTGTAGGATGTAGGGGGTGAATGAATGGTCAAAATCAAGAGAATACATCCTAATTTGGAGAATGAATTGGGAGAGGGGATTTAAAATGGAATCAGTATGGTGTGTAATTAGATGGAAATAGTTTTTCAAAGTTTTTGTTCGTAGTTACCGTTTTTTGATCTATATATTCATCCTGAAAATGTCTCTTGGCTCTCTACATGATCCACGACGCTCGGAAAAGTGGGAGATTATTACCCAAGGATCTAAGGGAGTAACTGTGGCAAGAAAAAGTGAGGTTTCATCTGAAATGTTTCTTTTTCCTCTAAAATTCATTCTTGGAGACTTTTTTTTAGACCCACTCCCCGTTTTCCCCTTCAACTCTTCTCAAACATCTTCCCACTTTCTCACCCTAACTTTATATCTTGTTTTTGAATAACTCACTGAGTCCAATTTACATTGCCTCTGTGCCATAGGTATGGTGCCCTACCAGTCATCAGCTAATGATAATTCTGCAGTTGGGGGAGGGGTATCGCCTAAGCCAGCCATGATCCGTGCTGGGGTGTTGACTGGTTCGATCTTGTGCAGGCCACAACCGCACCTGGTGTGAGTTTATGTTCCATGTTCGGACGTTGCTATCTGGCCCGGTTATAGGGTCCTTATAATCACTGTGCACCTGTCACTCCGTGTTCCGGAGCTTTGATGGATAAGGGGAGAGGTGTGATGACGCACGTCCCATTTAGGGATGAGTACTCCACAGTCATTGACTTATTTCACCCACCTGATGTGTCTGTGAGGTTGATTCTCACCTGTGATTTGGGAAATAGAAGCGTCATTCAATAGTACCTGAAGCAAACTGTGAAGACCCATAGAAATGTAAAGAGTTGGGATTTGTTCAAGTAGAATTTCATAGATTCTTATTCACGTGGGTGGGGGTTGTAAGAAATCAGAACAGGGAACAAGCCTTCGTATATTTATGGGTTTCTGGTCAGCCACCCTAACTATTTCAAGAATGTAGAAGTCACATAAGAAAATATTTTGAAAGAATCAATTTATTTAAAAATCTTGATATAATGTCTCAACCCTACACCTAGACTTTGAAAAATTTATCAGCTTGTGGTAGTTAAATCAATGAATGAAGAAACAGTGAGATGGGCTAGAAACACCAGCAAGAAGCAAAAAGAATGGATGAGTGGGAATCTGCAGACTGACCTAGAACACCGTAATAGAACAACCCAAAGACTAGAAAGTTAGATGAGAAATCACTGGATTTCTTCTGCATGATGTTCCTGAAGAACAAGGCCTTTGTTGCCGACTATTTGTAATGGCACAGGTCATAAGTATGATTTTAGTGGAGGAATGAGTAGGAGTATCATAAGTTAGTGTCCAGG